GAGATCAGAGGGGGAGAGGCGGTTTGCCTTTGCCTGTCACCAGCATAAAAGCAAAACGAAACCGTCTTTTAAAGGGCTATGGAGTTGATGCCAGCCTTCATATAATCTAAGTTTCAATGTTTATCAATCACGTATTCACTTGAAAACAAAAGTACTAAGAATTCAAGTTTCAACATCAACATAATACCATCTGGGTAGAGGCTCAAACAACACAGAATGCCTTGTAAGCGCTCAACGCTCTGAATTTCAACGAACAGCAAACACTGCATGAATCATGTTTCTTGAAACTACTCAACTTCAAGCTTTATGCATGCAAAGAGAAAATTAATTTCAGGTTTGCTGAAAGTGCAGAGATAGCTTGGCTTACAAGGCCCTGCAGACGGATAAGTTCCTTCTGAATGTCAACAAGGGTCAAGTCTTGAACGTTCTTCACGCAGGGAACCACTAAGCCGCCGGGTGCATCGATAGCAACGCTGACGTTATGGTTGCCGAATTCAGTGTACTGCAGCGCAGAACAATCTCCATTTCAACTGCAACTAGTAAAAAAAACAACCTTGGATTGAATTGAAATAGAAGGAAAAGTGGCAGAGAAGAGGTCATCATGAACTTGAAACGAACGCAGTTCGCCCCAAGAAACGCGAGCAGTTTTTTCATCTTTCTCACCGAGTTTTGGGTTTGCGTGTTGAATTTTGAGTTGACGATGGGATATTCGTCCATAGCAATGCTCATTGCTTTAATTAAAAAGGCAGTGAGGGAAATCCTGACGCCTTGAGAACCCAATTCGTTGTTCAACACTTTCCTTACTTCAGTCAAGCGCGTCACGTCGTACTCGTCGCCGATGTTCATATGCGGAACTTTCAGAGATTCTGTCATGGACTAAACAAGCATAAAAACAAACAAACACACAGACAAATATACTGAAAAACACAAAGAAAAAACCCAGGCCAACAAACACACTCACACAAGCAGCACCGCAGCAGCATCAACAACCGCAACAGCAGTAGCAGTAGCCGGTTTTCTTCCTCTGTTATCCTTTCCCCTGCATGCCCTAAAGTACCCAACGCGCCCAACGCCCTTATATACGCCTAAAGCGAAGGCACATGCTAGCTGTTGTTACTTCGTATAACCCAATGAAAGACACTGCCCACTACTTGACATATCAGTTTCGCCGCCACATATATGTATATCTATT